TTTTTTTTTTTTTTAATACCAGGATTCTGAAATAAAACTCAACAGATGTTTTCTCTGTGCCATCTAGGGGAAAACATGCAGTCTTACAAATACGCTTTAGAGGGCTGGGGATTTGGCTTAGTGGTTCCACTGCCTGACTCCCAAGCACAGGGACCCAAATTCGATCCCTGGTACCAAAAAAAACAAAAAGCAAAAACGTGTTTTTTGGGCTGGGGATTTAGCTCAGTGGTTCTGCTGTCTATCTGGCAAGCACAAGGACCCGAGTTCGATCCCAGGTACCAAAAAATAAATAAATAAAACAAATATGCTTTAGGTGGATTTATGTGTCAAAGCTGGTAAACTAAAGGAAAATAAATATTTCAAAATTCAAACAAAAATGAATATAAGGCAGGTGAAAGCAAAAGGGCCATAGAGCCATGAATAGCAGCTTTCTGGACCTGGAAGGTGGGAAAATGTAAGCAGAGCCTCAGGGTGAAAGAGTTCTCAGAGGTGGGGTAGGAAAGCCCAGGAGGCGGGCAGTGGGAGCTGTCCTAGGGCATTGGGCACAGAAATACAAGGAGGGGCCCTGAGAGAGCTCAATCTGGGAGTTGGTGATCAGTGAGGGCCAGGGACAAGAAGGAGTCAGATCAGCTTGTAGGGTTTGTCACAGGAGCCAGGTTCCCCAGCATGAACCTTACCTTATGCTATAGCCTGCACCTGTGAAGTGGGGAGACCCACAGTGGGGTTTTCAGGAGGTGAAAAGAGGTGACATAGGAAGAGCGCTCGGAGCAGTGCTGGCGCCCCAGGGCCCTGGCAGATGTTAGCTGGCAGCACCACCATTCCATGTGGCTGCCAGCTGATGAGAAAAATAGAGGGGCACTGTTCTGGGAGCGGGAGGAACCAGCCAGGGGTCACATTTGGCAGGCACGCCTGAGGTGGGAAGCCCAGAGTCTCCCCATGCCCCCCACCCCATCCTTGGCAACTTGCACACATCCCTCCCACCAGTGACACCAGTGAGTCAGGACAACCTGCAAGAGAACAGCTCCACCTTCTCCCCACCAACCTTATCCTGTGACCACCTATCAGCCAGCTACCACTCACCTGCTGAGACTGTCTCTTCCAGTGACCCCAAAGAACTCAGGACCCAGGCACTGGCCCCTGCCTGTCTAGGCACTCTCAAGGCTCCTGGTTCCCCCTTTGAACAGGTAGGAATTTCTCCCTCTCGCTGCTGTGTGCCTTCCTCTCTAGGCTGTGGGCTTCCAAACGCAGGGATTATTTTGCTCTTGTTGATACGGCATGCATCAGTCTTGGGAGTTCATTCTGGGGAAAAAAAGGACAAGGAAGGAAATTATCTTTGTCCTTTACCCTGTCTGGGCCCTAAAAAGGAAAACTGTTCTGGTTTTTCTCACCCCTGGCCCAAGCTGGGTTATGTAGAAGTGAGTCTCAGTGATCTCCAGCAAGCAGGATAGGTTCTGGACACTCTGTCTTTCTAAGACTAATCTTTTTTTTTTTTTTTTTTCCTCCAGTACTGGGAATCGAACTCAGGACCTTATGCTTGCCAGACAGGTGCAGCGCTGCTGAGCTAAGACCTCAGCCCCACTCTGCCTTTCTAACAAAAATGTACATCCGGCACCAGTCCCAAGAATAAGCCATCCTGTCCCCTCTGCAGACGCAGGCAGATCTTTGCACACACACTTCATTGTGTCACACCGTGCTGTCTCACTCAGCGCTCGTGGTACAGATGGCAGTTGAGGCCCATCGCAGAGCCTGGGCTGGGGGTAGTAGGCAGGTTGGGCGCATAATGGGCTTGCTAGGGTCATGCTCTGTAGGGCTGTGTGGGGAGCAGAGTGGCCTCCAACCCCAGGGGAACTAGGTGCAGGAAGTACCCCAGAGCCAAGAGGCAAGAAGAGAGTGCTCAGCAGAGTGTCACTGAAAAGGAGGCCCGAAGGCAGAGGGCCTTGAATTCTGAACTAGAAGTTGGGGCTGTGTGCTGTGAGCTGAGGTCTCTCCAGCTGTGTTGCGCGGTGTGAGGATGCTGACGTTCATTTTGGCCCGAATCACAAATTTACCACCGCCAGGGCTCTCAGTACCGCGCCCTCATTTTGAATTGCAGGGGGAGCCAGGCCTGATCCAAACTCTTGGCATTTGCTCGGGGGCCGCTCCTAGCACTCACTACTCAGAGCACCAGGAAGCTGGGGAAGTTCCCCAGCAGAGGAGGGGCTTGGTCCTGAGCGCGTGGGAATTCAGTCCCCGTACCTCCTCCTGGGCTTGCTGGTCTGCAGTCTGCAGTGCACCGGGCACCCTGTCTCCTCCTCGCGCCTGCTGTCATTGCTCCATCTCACAAGCTCTCACCTTTGTGCTTAGCGTGTAGGTGCTGCTCCCGTCCTGCTTTTGCCTTTATTCTTTATCTTTTTACCTACTTGCCTTTTGTTACCCAGGCACCGAGTTTTGTTTGCTTGGACTTGCGGGTAAATGTAAAGATTGAACTTAAGTCTCGCCCCATAACCATCAATAACAAGTGTCCCTATTTCTACATTAACTTTTGATTCCAGACTCTGAAATGAGGAAGAGGTTTTTGTTTTGTTTTGTTTTAATGTATCACCTTGTACTCTTTACACCCCAGATCCTTCACTGACCTGATCTGGTGCTGGGCCCCTTTCCCCTCTACCCAGTGGTTCACTTTCGGCCAGAGCTTAGGAAGCCTGAGCCATTCTGAATTCAGACTCACTCCTCCTAGAGAGCACCGACCAGGTCTGAGCACGCCCCAGGCTGTACCATCCCAGGCCAGCCTTCTGCTTCTGTCTTGCCCTGGGGTCTCTAAGGAGTCAGTCCTTCTGCTCTCACTTTGGACCATCTCCCAGATACCCAAGGTGCAACCCAGAACCCACCTATCTACCGCAGAGTGCCGGCCCTGTGCCTAAGCCGGAATACTGAGGTTTTAGTTTAGAAAAAACAACTGTTGCCTGATGCTCAGCTGCTGTGGAGACTTGGTTTGAGTGCTGACGGAGAGGGCTCTGCGTGCCCACGGGCACACGTGCCGGGTGGCTCCAGCCGATGTCCCTTTTCCCATCTGGCCACCGCTTTCGAGCACACAAACCTGATGACATCGCTTCCCCCCTCCGAACCCTTCTGGCTGCTAGGGTCCCACGGTCAGGTCTGTCACCTGTCTCGAAGGGTCCTTCTCCTGTCTCCATCTGGCCAGTCTCTGCTGGGAATAATACAGCTTCCTTCTTTGTCACTTTTCTGAGAGGTCAGCGTGGCCACTGTTCCCAGCATCGTCCGCTGAGGCCGCTTCTCTGGGCACCCTCGGGACCCCACTCAGACCCGTGTTAGGACTCCGCCTGGGGTTGTCACTGCCCTTGCTTGTCCTCCCTCAGCTGTGAGGCCCGGGACCTAGTGACTTAGTGAGATACCTGCTGAACATTACTTGCAAGAACGGGACAGTGTAGGACACCTGCCATCCACACTGTAGGGCACTTACCGCTCTGAGATCTTGCCATCTCTCCCCAGAGTGAAGACTGACCGGAGGCTGTCACATCCTGGTCCTGGCTGCAAGGCCCCCGGGATGCTCTGGGTGTCACCTCTGGAGCCTCACAGAACAGGAGCCAGATGGCTTGTGATTCAGAAGTCTCAGGCTTTCTGAACACACTCTTGCGAGACTTCCCAGCCCCCCTGACCCCGGAGAGCCCCTTGCCATGGAAGGCTCTGGGCACAGCGCTGAGTCAGGAGGAGGTGGAAGGCGAGCTGACTGAGCTGGCGATGGGCTTCCTGGGCAGCAGGTAGGTCTGTGCTGTCTGGGACCCCAGCAGAGATGGGAGCGGGCTATGCCAAGTGTGTGGGCCACAGCCACCTTGGACAGCCACGTGGCTCAGGGTACGGCGCTCTGACCGCGCTGCACAGGTGGGAGACGTTTGAGACGGATTGTGTGAGGGGATTAGCCACCTCGGGCAGGTGCCGTGGGAGGGAAGGGTCTGAGCCTGCCTTGGGGAGAGGAGAGAGCCGTTCAACAGTGGCACTCAAGGGAGTTGAGGGAGTTCTGGCTGGAGGACAGCAGTCCCTGGGCCTTCCGCGGAGGTGACGAGGAGCTGTCATTGCCTTGGGGAAATCGGGGAAATCGAGGACGAAAGCCAGGTCCAGGAAGATTTTAGTGGGCCGATGAGGGAACACGTGGTCAGAGCTCTGGGGCTCAGGTGGGAGCCCAAGGATTTGCAAGGCCTCTGAGCTGAGGCATCAATGCAGGGAGGGGAGAAGCCACAGTGCAGGGCCTGAAAGAGTCCTTCGGTTCCCTTGGTAGGTACTCTGCCCAGGGAAGGGCTGAGCAGGAGCTGGGGTTCAGAGCGCAGGGGTTGGCAGGGGCTACACGGCCTTGGGCCCCAGTGGGTTTTGAACATGTTGAGGGAGAGCCAGAACTTTGACGTGGATGGTAGTGGTAAGAAGTGGGTGGGGGACCAAAGCCTGCCTTTGGCCTGAAGCTGGAGGGGTGGCACAGAGCTCCCAGAGTAGGGGAGCTCCCAAGTCCCCCATATGCATCCATCTTAACACATCTTAAAATGTGTTGTGAAATAGAGTATGTTAAGGTTCTCTATTTCCTAGCCGTCTTAATGGAGTTATTATTTTAGTTCTTGTATTTTGTCTGTTATGCAGACGTGCACATTTATAGGTGCAGTCGTCACTTGGGGTCGGTTCACGCGTACCCACCACGCACCTGCATGCACCTGTATGGTTGCTGTGTCTCAGCACCTCCTTCGTGCCTGTCCCCTGCCCTCCCAGCACAGCCATAGGCTCCTGGGTATAAAGGGCTCCGAGTCTACTGGCCCCATGGCTCCTTTTCCAGATTTTAAATGGCGTCCTCTGAGACTGTAGAGGTCAGATCACTGAGCTCTAGGGTGTGCTCATTTTCCATCCTGTCTTCACCTCTTGCCAATAGCTGTTTCGCTGTCGTGCCTTTTGTCCCTGAGTAGTGTGTACCTTCCACTGGAATTTAAATGCAGTTTTCATCTCTGCTGCTAGACTGTAACCCCCAAGGTAGAAGGACTAGTTTTTCTTGAGTGCAGGTGCCAGGTCTCCAGAAGTTTAGGAGCCCCACCCCACGGGGACCAGGATCAGGGTTGGTTTTCGTGGTGCATCCACTCAGGACTGAGGGGCAGGCTTGGAGGAGATAGGAGCCACGTCCGGGAAGGGGAAGCGGATGGCCTGTGGCCAGCCATTGTCTGGGTCCCCCGGCCGGAAGCTGCCTCCCTGCCCCCAGCAGTAGCAGCAGGCAGAAAGCGGAAGCATGGCCTCACCAGGGCTGAGCAGTACAGGCATCCTGCTCCTGCCAGGGAAGGGAAAACCCAGAGGTTGGCAGGAAATCCCCAAACGGCGGAGAGACTTGTTTCTCACGTCTGGGATGGATGATTGTTTGATTTGGGCAGGGGGTTGTTTGCTTTGTGGTGCTGAAGGTCAAACTCAGACCCTTGAGCATGCAAGTGTCCGCCCCCAGTCCTGCGTTGAGTTTTAGTCTTCCATGGCCTGCTTGCTTTTCAAGTTGGCTCCAGAAGCTTCTCTCTGAGTGACCCTCATTAAAAACAAAAACAAAAACAAAAAACCCAAGAGCCAGACGTGGTGGCACATGCCTGTAATCCCAGCACTTGGGAGGCTGAGGCAGGAAGCTATGAGTTCGAGACCAGCCTGGGCTACATAGTGAGTTCCAGGGCAGTCTCAACTACATAGTGAGATCCTGTCTCAAAAAACAAAAACAAAAAAACCCAAGAGTTCTAAAGACCATCAGTAGATGCCTTCAAGTGCTCAGCCCCCACAGGACATGACCTGTCAGCCAGGCTGCTGGAAGGCCCTTGTGCTCAGGTTAAACCTGTGTCGGCTCAGCAAAGACTCGGTAGGATGTCCCCAGTGACCAGCACACAGAGGTGAATGCACATCCTCCAGTTTCTGGGTCCCCCAAGAGGTGCAGAGGCAGATCCTGGGGATCTGGATGCATCTTAGAGGCTGTGGGGCCACCAGGAGAAGTGATTTCTTCTGTGAGATCCAGCATGGGCTTCTGTGGATGCGGAGTCCCCGCCACACACAGCCCCTGTGTGTGTGTGTGTGTGTGTGTGTGTTGGGGTCTCGTGTCACACTATCCTCCCCACTGCCCTGGTTGGCCACCGTGGCCTCAGTCTCCCTCTTCCCAAAACCCTTTCCTTGGTCTGCCTCTCGTGCCCCTCTGCACTGCCTGCACGCCAAAGGCCCCTGACTAGAGACTGGCATTTCTGCCCCTCCTCTGCCTTCAGCCCGCAGTGATTTCCTTGTCCACACCTTCTACGCCTACTTGGCTCTTCAGCTCTGCTCTGTGACCTTCAGAGCCAGCAGCAGCCAAGTCTCACTTCTCAGAACGTGTCCGCCATGGCCTCCGCACACTTGGTCCCCATCTGTGCAGCTCGCCGGCTGCTTCCTGGCCCTCCTGGGTAGGTGAGCTCCTGCTGACCCTCACCCTCATTCACCCCGTTCCCGTATCTCTCCAGGGCCCTGGGACTCAGCAGAACCTGAGAACTCATGGGATAGAACCTGTTGCCCTGTCCCAGGCAGGCTAATTGAGATACCCTCACCACCCCCGGTTACTCAGAATACAGACTTCATCTGTCCCTGTTCCTTCTGCCCCACATCTTTTGAGCCTCCTCAGTACAGCTCTTGTCTGTCCCCTCTGGTCCTCCATCACTATGGCCCTTTGCCCAGCTCAAGCTTAGTCTCTTTCTTCTGGACTGTGGTCATCACCTTCCCGCTGGTTTTTACCCTGTAGCCCACCCTCTACACCAGAAGGTGTCAGATAGCAATCCAAGTACACTGTCTTTCTTCCAAACAGACCACGGTGGCTCCCGATGGTCACCAAGCCTGGCCCACCCCCTGCTCCTGTCACCCCTGCCCCAGCTGCCCAGGGGCCTGGATTATCTTTTTTTACAGTACATGGTTCATCTTTGATAACAGCGCTTGGGTCCCATGCTCCCTGAATCAGCTTCCTGAGACTGTGGCACCCAAATACCGCAGGCCATGCAGCTTAAAGAACAGACACTGATTCTTGAGGTTCTGGAGGCTGGAAGTCTGAGATGAAGCGGCTTCCATCTGGCTGTTCTTGGGCAGTACTTGGATCCTCAGCTTCTAGGCTCATTTCCCACATTTCTGGTTATTTTCACAGTGCTTCTCCCCACGTACATATCTGTGTCCAGACTTTCCCTTTTTCATAAAGAAAGCGGCTGTTGAAGGAGGGTCCCATCCTGTTCCAGGATGACCTCCCTAGTTCTGTCTGCATTGATTCTATTTCCAAGTAAGGTCCCATTCTGAGGTACCGAGGACAGGGCCTTCCGCATCCGGAGTGGGGACATTTGAGCCCACAACGTGCCACAACCCTTGGGGCTTACCAGCTGGCAGTGGTGACTCTGTTCTCTCCCGTGGCACACGGACCAGGGGTCATGATTGCTTGGATGTCAGACAGTTTGCCCAGCTACTCAGGGTGGCACCCTCTGCTCCCCGGCCCTGGCGTTGTGATTGGTCCGGGCAAGTCCCAGTGGAAGAGGCATGTCTGCCTCCCCTGGCATTTACGTGAACGTCGCATAAGAAGAAAGGGCACCCTGCTCATCGTGACCCCAGCAGGGTGCGAGCCATGGCCTCTGTCTGTGGCTCCGGCTGGGGAATCACCCAGGCTTCACTTCTCATCCCCGTCCCTAGGCATGCCCCACTGCCACTTGCTGCGGCTCTGACCCGAGAGGCCGTTTCCCAGCTGCTGCAGGCTGACCTTTCTGAGTTTAGAAAGTTGCCCGGGCAAGAAGAGGAAGAAGAAAACGATGAGGAAGAAGAGAAGGCCCCGGTGATCTGTGAGTTCTCTGCCTAAGAGATGGAGACTAAAGGGGACATTGCTGCGGGGGACAGGACGTGGTGAACAGGGCCAGAAAAGGGGTTGGCGCCAGGGGACTTCCCCGCAAAGAGTGACAGGATCATTGTGTAGCGATGGTGTGGCAGCACATAGCCAGGAAGGCGAGTGCGGCCTCCAGTACCCGGCCGGGGGTCAGCTGGTGCGTCACGCTCCTGTGCCCCATCTCACTGAAGTTTCAGAACAGCCCTTGCAAACATGAGGAGACCAAGGTGCTAAGTCACTGTCAGGCGGCCGAAGTGGAATGCATCTGCTATCTTCCCTAGGCAGAGCCAGCAGGGTGACGCAGCAGTCTGTGACGGGGACAGCACCGTGGTCCAGACGGTAGAGAGCACTACCTCTCCTAGCTTCTCTGGACTCCTCAGGTTGGGCCCTGTTAGGGAAAGGTGCTCAGCAGTGCCCTCGAGGTTCGCAGGGTGGAGGTGAAGAGTGCTTATCTGTCAGCCCACTTGAGAACAGTCATCACTGGGGCCAAAGCCCTAAAACAGCACTGAGTGGTCAGAGGAGCCCCAAAATGGAGTAAGCACCGAGGGGCTTGCAGAACTATTTAGCAGTCTGCTCATGAAAATACAGGGCTCTTGTTTGGGGCAGAGGCACATACCTGAAATCCTACCTAGTTGGGAGGCTGAGGCAAGAGGATCCTGGGTTAAAGGTAAGAAGAGCAACTTAGCAAGACCCCATCTCAAAATAATAAATTTCTAAGAAAGGGGCCGGGGATATAACTCAGTGTGAAGGCCTTGAATTCAATTCTCCACTGTGCCCCCGGCCAGGAAAAAAAAACCAGGCTCTTATTTTGTTTTATTTTATTTTTTGGTAATGGGGATTGAACTGAGGACCTGGCAAGCAGGCTGTTGTTTAACTGCATGATTTTCTTTCTCTTTTCTAATAATTGTTTTTTATTGTATTTCGCCAAAGTGTTGGTTCACGGCAGACCCAAAGTCCAGGGAGGGAAAGTGAGGCCTTGGGGAGATGCCCCGAGGGTTGGAGGTTTGCCTCTGCATAGCCTCCAGGTAGCAGGAAGTGGATTTCCCTTCCTGCCATTTCCTTTCTGACTATGTTACTTTAACCTCAGCATGTAAGGAAAAGCAAGGAACAAGGGGAAAGAAAAAAGAAAAATACATGAAGCCTCTAGCATCAGTGGCTGCCAGGCTGTTCCCCTCTCTTTGTGGTCCCCTGCTCCCTGGCTCCCTGCCTGCCTTCCATCTGTGCACAGCCTCGTCTCCCCGTCTGGAAGACAGTTGTCGTCAGCAACAGGCAGCCATTGTTTCCGGTGGCAGCTGCCACTAGCAGCCCCACTAAAGGAGTACGCCCTCCACCCCCACCCTACCCGGGGTTATTTCTCTGCCTGGCCAGGCAGGAGACAGCGCCAGCTGCTGGTGGGAGGGAGAACTGCAGTTTGCTGAGCCCTGGGAAGGAGGGTGGGGTCACAGCCAAGAAGGCACAACCAGCCCTGCCCTCCCTGTCTGCCCCAGAGCCAGGGTTATGCAAGTCTAGGCTAGCGGCCTGGATCACTCACGGTACCAGAACGTAGCAACCGCTGTCGTCTCCCAAGCCATTCTTGCAGAACCACTTCAAGACGGGCAGGCTCTGTGAGACTCACCACTGCCAAAGGGCAGAGATATGACAAAAATTTCTCTGTGCCTGCCAGCCAGCCCCTCCCTGTTGACTGTTAGGAGAACAAAGCTTGTGGAGCAGTTGCTAAGGGCATGGGACTGCGGCCCTCCAAGGCATCGGGATCCTGTGCAGGGCATCACGGCCATGATTGATTGCCCTCATGTGTAATTCCCTTATCTGGAGCAAGATTCAAGTTCAGACTCGAGGATGGAAGTAGTAATAGGACCTAAGGCACAGAGGGCAAGACAGCCCAGGCCCCGAGAGGGCTTCGGGCCTGATAAGCACCAGCAGCTTTCCAGGAAGTCTTCTGAGCAGAGCCCTCAACAGAAAAGGGAGAAGAGGGCAGGAGGCAGCACGTGAGGACTGGCACAAGAGACTTCCGTGGGGTGGGGAGCAGCCATTCCTGAGCTGGGCTCTCCTGTGCTCGGCTCCAGCTTCTCCACCCCCAGAACCCTAGCCTGGCTCTGCCAGTCCCACAGTTCTTGCCGAAGGATTGAATGGGCCTCTGTCCTCAGTGTGCCGGCAGCAGCCAGCTATAGACACCCACCCCGGGCCCCTGTCTAGACGCAGGCTCCGCTCAGACCCACCCTTTCCACAGCCTCCTGTGCTCACAAGCGTCTGGTTCTTTCTCTCTAGCTCCCTCTGGCCTCTGCTTTTCTCCGGTTCTGCCTGGAGCACTTTCTTCTCCCAGTTCCCCACATCCTTTGGGTATGACCTGTGGCTCAGGGACTCTGCCCTGCTTCCCGTCCTTGACCTAGAACTCCTCTCCTAGGGCAGGCTCGTACTCCTTTGTATCTGCCACATGTACTTGGATTAGTTTCACTGGAATTTTTTGTTTAATGAATGCTGTAGCGGGTGTTGTTTATTGCTACATAATGAATAGCGTCCCAGATGTAGTGGCTTTAAAACAGCAGATATTTATCTTCACACAGTTTCCATGGGTCTGGAATTTGGGAGCAGCTTAGGTAGGTGGTTCTGCCCAGCACCTCAAGAGGTTGTAATATGGGGGCGGAGAGTGGCCGTTTGTCCCTCTCAGAATGGTTCAGTCACAAAGAGAGCAAGCATTCAGGCCTCCTAAGGCACAGTTTCTGAAGCCACAGGTGGTCACTTGTACTTTCTTGCACCCAGCCAAAGCAACTCACTAAGTTCCCCGCTGGGGAAGGAGCTGGTTCTGTCTCCTGAAAGAAGTATCAGAGGCCTCATGGATGAATTTTAAAGCCATCCCATTTGATCAAACATTTTTAAGGGAAAATTGGAAAAGTGTATATATGTAAGGGAAAAAATCACCCCTAGAACCAGCCTAAAGCACCCACTCCTGTTGTCTTGGTCATAATGTTTTTTCCCCCTTTTTTATGGGTCCAAGTAGTTTTTCCATGTACTTGTGGATTGAATTCGGTATCTAATTTTTTATCTTTTTCTCCCTTGAAATCAGGACATAAGTGTTTTACTTGCTAGTAAACTCTGTAAAAATCAATTCTTTGGTTTTTTTTCTTAACTCTTTGCTTTCATATATCATAGCTGCCCATCTGCCTGTAAGAAACACTTCAGAGAAATCCCGTGCGTGATTCACCCAGCCACATGCAGGACCACATCTTGCACAACTGCAATAAAGTGTCACAGACTCCATCTTGACACACTTACCACAAGTGTTCTTCATTACCCTCTGCTGGCCTCTCTCACACCCCTCCCCACATACCAGGATCCCTAACTGCTGGCCATTACTAATCTTCTGCATTTCTAGAATTTTGGCATTTCAAGAATGCATATAAAGGCCCCGGGGATTTAGCTCAGCGGTGCCACCATCTGCCTCACAAGTGCAAGGTCCTGAGTTCCATCCCCAGTACCAAAAAAAAAAAAAAAAAAAAAAAAAAAAAAAAAAAGAATGCATGTAAATGTATAACTCAGGGGGGTTGGCTTCTTTCACTCAGCATAATTCTGGAGATTATTGCATGTGTCAAAACTTCATTCAGAGCTGGATGTGGTGGTGCACGCCTGTAATCCCAGTACTTGGGAGGCTGAGGCGGGAGCTGTGAGTTCAAGACCAGCCTGGCCTACATAGTGAGTTCCAGGTCAGTCTCAACTAGTAGTGAGACCCTGTCTCAAAAAACCAGAAAAAGCCTGGTGTTGTGGCGATTCTGGAGATTATTGCATGTGTCAAAACTTCATTCAGAGCTGGATGTGGTGGTGCACGCCTGTAATCCCAGTACTTGGGAGGCTGAGGCGGGAGCTGTGAGTTCAAGACCAGCCTGGCCTACATAGTGAGTTCCAGGTCAGTCTCAACTAGTAGTGAGACCCTGTCTCAAAAAACCAGAAAAAGCCTGGTGTTGTGGCGCAGGCTTATAATCCCAGCACTCGGGAGGCTGAGGCAGGAGGATCACTGTGAGTTCGAGACCAACCTGGCCTACATAGTGAGTTCCAGGTCAGTCTCAACTACATAGTGAGACCCTGTCTCCAAAAACAAACAAAAAAATTCCTTCATGCACACACTGAAGGATATCTAGGCTAATTCCAAATTTTAGACGTCACAGAGAAAGCTGCCATAAACAATCCTGTGCAAGTTATTGTGTGTAAAGTCTTCATTTTTTGGGATAAGTGCTCAGGAGTCCAATTATGGGTCATATGGCAGTTCTGAAAGTCATTTTTGTTTGTTTCTTTGGTGCTGGGGATTGAACTCAGGACCTTGCACTTGGAAGGCAGGCGGCAGCACCCACCACTGAGCTAAATTCCCTGGCCTGAAAGTCATTTTTTGTTTTGTTTGGTTTTTTTGAGACAGGGTCTCACTATGTAGTTGAGACTGACCTGGAACTCACTATGTAGCCCAGGCTGCTCTCGAACTCACAGCGATCCTTCTGCCTCAGCCTCCCGAGTGCTGGGATTACAGGCGTGCTCGACCACACCCGGCTCAAAAGTCATTTTTAATAGCAGTTTAATTCTTCCCAAGAGAAGAGTCAAGAGTTTACTCAGAGTCCCTTTGTCACTGGATATGTAATGTTTCTAATTAACCGGCAGTTGGAAGGGATTCTCTACTTTGTCTATAATTTTTGCGCTTCCTATGCTGCGTTCCTGTGAGTGGTGTTACCCCATCATGGAGTGGGAGCCTTCTCAGGCCTTATTGTCAAAGCAGACATCGCCAATGGCCAACTAAAGGCTGTCACGCGAGGGTTGGTGTGCTCAGTGTGCCCTGGGAGGTGATGGGTGGGTGAGGCCCATGCAGGCTGCGGGGGGCTGTCTGGAAAACCAAGTGGGACCGGAGGAGAGGGGCGCGGGGAGCCAGTCCCGGTGTGGCTTGTGCTGCTCTAACAGTTCTGTCGTGCCCTCAGTGACAGATGCCAAAGGACTGGCTCGGAGTTGCTTTAACCAGCTCTGGGAAGTAAGTGACCAGTGGCGGAAGCAGGTGCCGGTTGCTGCCCGGACCCCGCAGAGGGAGTGGGTGGTCTCCATCCACGCCATCCGGAACACTCGCCGCAGGATGGAGGACCGGCACGTGTTCCTCCCTGCCTTCAACCTGCTCTTGGGCTTGTCCGTGAGTGTCCCACCGACGGGGTCCCCGGGCAGGTGGTGTCCTGTGCTGGGAGGTCAGGCCCTGGGGACTGAGAGGAGCTTCCAGCCAGAGCTGAGCCGGGAGAGACTTGTCAGCCGTTGTCTCAGGCTCAGGTGCCGGGCAGCACCCAGAGCCCTCTCCGGGGGCGTCTCACAGGCCCACTTCCTCGGCCAGGATGCTAGGCGCTTTACTTTCCCCTGGAAGGACTGAGGAAAGGCAGCGGTTGGCATATGTCTGTTAAGAGGGTAGGCCCCAGTGCCAAGGTCACGTCGGACATGTGCTGAGCCCCGCCAGCTACGGCACCGGGAGCCACCTGCTCTATCTTAACTTGATTTTATTATGAACAGCCCAATCCAGATGGTGAAACTGAGGTTCCTCCTCCAGATCGCACAGCTCCTAAGTGCTTGAGCCAAGTTGGCCTGTGTGATGGCAAGGGCCACGGCGGTTCTTCCAAACCCTGCCTGTCTTGGTCTGTTTTCTGTCACTGTAACAGAATACCCGAGACTGGATGACTTGTAAAGAAAATTGTTTTTCTTATAGTTCTGGAGACTGGAAGGTCCCAGATCGAGGAGCTGCATCTGGTGAGGGCCTCCGTGCTGGAGGGGACTCTGCAGAGTCTGGAGGCCATACAGAGTATCCCGTGGCAAAACAATGTATTTTCCAAAGGGCTCACTTTATAACTAAGCCATCCCCTCAGTAACCTGTTAATCTATTAACCCACCAGTGAACTCATCTTTTAATATCAGAGAGCCTACCCCCAAATACCATCCACATAAGAATTTTGGGATTGCATTTCCAACACTTGAATTCTCAGGGACAGACGTTGAAACTGTAGCACAACCTTAGGCTCGAGGCCAGCAGAGCTCTGTGTTCCCCGTCAGGACCCCGTGGACCGTGCCTACTTCGCTGTGTTTGACGGTCATGGGGGCGTGGACGCCGCGAGATACGCTGCTGTCCACGTCCACATCCACGCCGCCCGCCAGCCAAAGCTGCTCACAGACCCTGCGGAAGCCCTCAAAGAAGCCTTCCGGCTCACCGATGAAATGTTTCTCTTGAAAGCCAAGCGAGAGGTGAGAACCGATAGCCAGGTCTCGAGGGCAGCCAACAGCCACGAGGAGCGCAGTCCCTGCCTCTGCTGAGGGAAGGGTACCCGCGTGGCTGGTGGCCCGGGAAAGTCCTCGCTGAGCACGGCTAGTCATGGTGCTACTTACTCGTAAGAAGTAGGGCGCGTTTTTCACTTGAATGGAAGCAGCAAGAAGCTTACCCGTTTTATCGTTCAGTTTCCATGACTGTGATGAAATAACTGAGGCTCAGACAGCTTCATCAGGACGAGAAGTTTGTTTTTGCTTATGATTCTGTAGGTTCAAGGCCAGAGGGCTTCATCTGGTAATGGACTTGCTGGGAGAGCCCCAGAGTTGCTCAAAACATCACACAGCAAAGAACGAGGAGTATACGTGCATATGCTTGTATCTTCCGGCCTCCCTCCCTGTCCTTCTAAAGCCACTAGAATTCACCCCCGGGGGCTCCACCCTAATCATTTTATCCAATCCAGTCACCTCCAAGGGCTTCCTTCAACTCTACACACTACAGTTGGATTAAGTTTCCACTGCTCAATACCGCGCAGTGGACATTAAATTTTAACACAAAGCCTGGGGGACACTCAGCCCCTCTCCAAACCATAGCACCCTGACCCAAGGGAACAGGCATCCTGATTTGAAACGCACCCAGGGGCCAGGAGAGCAGAGAAAACATGGCCTCTGGGGAAGACATGTTGAGGCCAGGCAGGCAAGCCACAGCAAGCTCAGGGTTGCATAGTTGGGATGACCTTAGTTGCTTCTGAACTACAAGGGTGGCCCCCTGGCTCTCCCAGTGCCAGGCCAAGACAGGGGAAGCTTTGGCCCGGGAGATGGTAGAAGAGGCATTTGGGGCTCTGGGCTCCAGACCAGCTGCTTTCTCATGAAAGGTAACGCTCAGGCCAGCGTTTGTTCTCCAGGACTTGGGCCCCTGCTCTCGTTTCACTAGGCCCCAGCATGTCATGCAGCCTAACACAGAAAATGCAGAGCGTGACTAATATGCTCTCCCGTCTCTCTTTGCTCTCCTAGGCAGGGTCTCTGCAGGCTGCTAGTGTCTGTCCTCAGGAGTTACGGCCATGTGTAGGAAAGAGGCACAGGTTTCTGAAAGGAGAAAGAACACAGCAGGCCTCCCCTCTGTGGATGTGCCCCACTGAACCTTCACGGCAGGCCCCAGCAGAGGCTTCTAGTATTGTTCCCATTTCAGACCTTGGGAGACGGAGGCTCCGATTGCCTCCAAGACCTGTCTCGGTGGGGAGGCAGTGGAGAGAGGCACCTGTCCTCACATGCTCTGTCCACAGAGCCGAGTGGAATCCAGCAGAAACCGCTTCAAGAGAAAGCCGTAAAATATCTCAAGCCACCAGAGGGAGCTTAGCAGAAAACTTGCACTGTTTCTCCAGCTGGTGAAGCAGGCCGCTCAGCTGAAGGCTGCTCCTGGAGTAGAGAGGCGCTGTACAGCAGTTTAGATTAGATTAGCCTGTGGTCGGTCATTTGGTGGTGCTGGGGACAGATCCTAGGGCCTCACACACGCCAGGCAAGCGCTGCACCACTGTGCTGTATCTCTAGCCCCTGTTACTTGCTGTAAAGAACTCCGAGCTATGACTGGCACGTAATACATTGCCCGTATTTAAAGTATGTGGTCAGATAAGCTTTGGTCCATGTGTCCGCTCATGAAACCCTTTGCTCCAGTAATGGGCGTCTTTGTCACACCCAAAGCGGCTTTCCTCCCTGTGTCACCCCTGTCCTTCCTGCACCTTCACACACCCGCTCCCCCGACTCGTGCGTCTGCTTCCTGCCACCACAGAGCCTGCACGTCCCGGGGTTTGGTGTAAAAAGGGTTCTGCTCTTTCCCCTTCTGCGTGGTATAATCTCTACGTGCCGCGTTGGGCCTGGAGTTGGTTCTCTTGTGTGCCGAGTTCGTGGTTCAGCCTGTCTGGCACGTGCTTCTCCCATGGGCCCCAGGTCACACACACCTTGCCCCGTGTGGGCCTCTCTCCCTGCAGCGGCTGCAGAGTGGCACCACAGGCGTGTGCGTGCTTGTTGCCGGAACAACCCTGCACGTCGCCTGGCTCGGGGACTCCCAGGTCATCCTGGTGCGGCAGGGAGAAGTGGTGCAGCTGATGGAGCCACACAGACCTGAGCGACGGGTAAGGGCTGCCTCTGTGGAAGCGGGGGACCCTCCCAGCTACTGCTGTACTAGGCACGTGCAAGACTGGGGATTTCACAAGGCAGCAGAATGTCAGCAGCTGGGTATTGCCGAGGAGAATTTGGAAGTGGGAGGGCCCTGGAAGCTCCTGGTGCTCCTGCGGAGGAGGGCACCCCTACGTGACTTGGGTGGCCAGGGAGCTCCAGCTGAGCCCTTCCTGAGAGCTCTCTGGGTCACAGTGACATGGAGCCCAGAGCTCCAGGAAAGAGCTGGGCCCTCTTCCCCGAGAAGCGGTGCAGCACAGAGTCCTGTGCTAGCCACACGCACGGAGCAGCCCAGCAGGGGCTGAGAGCAAGGAGGTGATGCTGCACGGGGCTGGAACAAGTCAGGCTTGGGCCGCAGTAGGCAGAAATCACGCTGAGATCCTGAGACTCGGGCCGCTCACCTGTCTTAGCCTCAGGGCCCTGACTTGGACACGAGGAAGACATTCCCGCTCAGACCATGTCTCACAAATGTCTAGTCTGTCTCCCGAGGGCAGAGAGGGCGTGTTTGTGCATCAGAGCGCCCGCATGCCCCCCCCGGCTCGCGTCACATGCCGTGCGCTGCACTGGCGCTTCCCAGCTAGCTGCACCTGGCAGAGTATTCATCCTGCACGTGTACGTGAAGGGCAGTCGTCCTTGGAGATGCCTTGACATTCCTTTTCATCATCCAGTCCCTCGTGGAGAAACGCTGAAGTCTTAAGTCTTTCTATGCCGAAAACATCACAACAGTGCATAACTTTGTATACTGCACGGCCCAGGGTCGATTATATCTGTAGCAAAGATTCCTAGAGGTAGGATTGCAGGGTCAGAGTACACACATGGTCTTGCTAGATTTTCCCAACAGTCCTCTCCAGGCTGGGCCTCCCTGTGCTCTAACAGTAGCCCTGAGAGGGTCCATCCCACCCTGTTCCCATCAGCCTACGGGATTTCACCCACCTGAGAGGTAAAAGGACATCTCAGCAGTTGTTTAATTTGCTCTTCTCTTACAGAGAAAGTTGAAGCATATTTTCAGAAGTTTAAGGCAGGCATGGTGACGCATACCTTTTAATCCCACCGTTCTGTGAGACTGAGGCAGGAGGGTCACAAGTTTGTTTGATGCCCCCGCCCAAAAGAGGTAGGGATGTAGCTTAGTGCAAAGACCCAGAGTTCGATTCTCAAGATCACCAAAAGAAAGGTTTTAAAGTACTTTGCATTGCTTTGCCTTTCCTGTGAACAGTTTGTTCCCGACCCTTGGGTGTTTTTCCTTAACAATTTACAGGCACCTTACACACGTTAATGAGGTGATCTCCTTGTCTGGTATCTGCAGTTTTTTTCCCATATCTGTTTTGGGTTTTCTGCATTGGTGTTGAGCCGTCTTTTCCTCTTGTGGCTTTTAGATTGGGAAAGCAGGACAGAGACTAGCGGGCGTTGATCAAAGGAATGACAGTGTAAGCCGTGCATGGTGGCGTATGCCTTTAATCCCAGCACTCGGGAGGCTGAGGCAGGAGGATCACTGTGAGTTCAAGACCAGCCTGGGCTACATAGTGAGTTCCAGGTCAGTCTCAACTACACACTGTCTCAAAAAAACAAAACAAAACAAAAAAACCAAAGGAATGACAATGTTCCTTGGCCTCCTGTCACAGCTCATGGTCTGCACTACACAGGTGCTCTCCACATTGGACAGAGGAGAAACCTGAGAGGAGGCTGAGAGGAGGATCACTGTGAGTTCAAGACCAGCCTGGGCTACATAGTGAGTTCCAGGTCAGTCTCAACTACACACTGTCTCAAAAAAACAAAACAAAACAAAAAAACCAAAGGAATGACAATGTTCCTTGGCCTCCTGTCACAGCTCATGGTCTGCACTACACAGGTGCTCTCCACATTGGACAGAGGAGAAACCTGAGCTCCCCACCCCCTCTTCTAAGCCTGAGGCTCCTGAACTATCGAACAGGACTCTTGGCAGGTGTGGGGTGAGGATCGGGTGACCTGGTACAAGACTGCCGAGACCAGTGCCTGCCCAGGAGAAGCACACAAGTGTCTGGTAAACCACAGCTGGGGGCAGAGGCTAAATCCCAGCTCCCTCCTGCCAGCTGCTGCTTGTGACCCTCGTCGTAGCCCACCATCTGCCCGGGAAATGGCCAGAGATCTGGGCACAGGCTCTCCACGAAAGTGAGCCTCACCACGTGGCTGATGAGGACAGGAAGCTGAAGCTTCGGAAGGGGCTCAGCAGGCAACAGAAGTGGCCCCGAGGACCGTGTGGGGACCTGTGTTGCCGTCTTAACCTGTAGCTGTCTGCAGAGCTTCTCCTGCTGCTGGACTTCAGGCCAGCGGTCGTGTAAAACCTGCCTATTTTTTTGAGATAAGGTCTCGCTATGTAGTCCAGGCTACTGCGGGGCCCAGGCTGGCCTCGAACTCGTGTCAATCCTTCCGCCTCACCCTCCTGAGTGTGCGCCGCCACCCCTGGCTGGAGCCTGCTCTTTACAGGATCCTTTGCTGAGGCAGTGGAGTGACAAGGTAGAGCCCCACCCACCTGCCAGAAGCTCTGTCTAATGGAGAAACAAGGTGCGATAGGAGAAGATGAGGACATGGCCGTGCTGGGAGGATGTGACAGAAAGAGGCGTGAGCGTGGGGCCTGGGGTGGAATCTTGAAGCCAAGTATGACTTCCGCAGGCCAGAGGCAGGTTCCAGCTGGAGCGAACAGGTAACGCCAGAGCCACTGACCTGCTGCCCCTTCGGTGGGGCTGCCCCAGGCCAGGAAGAGCTCCGCGGGGCGTCGCTGGAAGCCCCCATAATGTGCAGACCACAGGAGGGCAGGGTGATGGCTGCGTCAGAGAAGTGAGGCCAGGAGAGTCGTGAGCGTCCTCTGCAGTTACAGGTCAGGGCAGGCAAGTGACAGCAAGGGCCTATCTCGGGGAGACGGAGGAGCCCAGGCTTTGGAGCTGAAGACGTGGACAGGGCATCGGGCATCCGATGGTGTGGTAGTGCCGTGGGCAGAGCCCTGATCTCCGTGGAAAGGGGGAACGTGGCTGTCAGTGAGAACCTCTGGGCCAGGAGGGAGTGACCTGGGAGAAGCTGCTTCAGGAGGTGTGGATGGTGAGGCAGGAGAAACAGAAGAGCAGCTGACGGGCGGTTGTCCCAGGAGACAGGAAGCAAAGACAGGGACACTTTGACCATGAACATGGTCGTCTTGGAGCAAGAGAAGCCAGGCCAGCATGTGGACAGGGTGAGGCTGCTGTGCCTAGGGCAGCTGGAGGTGGGAGCCACGGTGGGGCCCACGTTAGGGGCGTGTGCAGCCTCTGCTCACAGGGCGGTCTTTTGACACAGGGAACCCTCCTAGGGGTTTCTCAACAGCGGTCACGGTGGAGCTCGCAGGCCGTGTGGCCCAGGTGCCCTCCCGTCCTCTAGCTCAGTGCTGTCCCCACAGTATTCTCTCAGGGAGCAGAGGACAGAGAGAGTGCTCAAGAAGGATTTCAAGGCTTTTGCTATATTTTATTTTTGTTTGTTTTTGAGGCAGGGTCTTTTTATATTGCTCAGGCTGGCCTCAAACACGCAATCCTCCTGCCTCAGCCTCCTGAGTGCTGGGATTGTAGGTGTGTGCCACCTTGTCTGGCTGGTTCCACAGCTTTGAAGGCCAAGTGCCCTGCTTTTAGGGCCTCCCTGGAGACACCTAGCCCAGAAGGGGAGACATGGTACAGGAATCAGTTCCCTTGGCACCCCTTATGCCCCAAGATTGTAGGTGGACAGGTGTGGGCTGTGCACCCCTACCTAATGGGGGCCCATGGGATTAGGTGCACGTCCCTCTCGGTCACCTTTGGTCACCCCCCTCCCTGTCCCACATCACAGGCGTTGAGGGTTTGGAATAAGTTGGAGCACGTGAGAGACAGAAGCAGAGAAAGGGCTGACAATTCTCAACTTTTTCCAGATGCGAAGGCTGGGGAGGGCGCGCCTCCCTTTCAGGGAAAGCCTGGGAGGGACCGCCTGCAGTTCCCTGGTGGTCTCTGTGTCTTCGTGCTCTTGTGCGTCCATCCGCCTGGCCTCCCCAGCCTCCCCGCTTTGTTCCTCCCTTTCCTCTCTGACTCTGTTCGCAGTGGGGAGGAGGGATGAGATCTGAGGGAGACTCTGAGGTCTCCTGTTCCTGCCCCCTGCTCTAGGACAGTGACTGCCTCTAGTGGTGAGGATGCCCAGGTCTTCATCACCGTGCAGGCCCACGGTGGTTGTGGAGGATGAGGACACCTGTCATTCCCCTGTGACACTGCAGGGAACCGCACACAGAGGTGCCGTGCCTGGTGCCTGCCCTGTCTACCCAGCCTTTCCTTCTGAAATGGGTCTGTATTTGAATGGGGCAGACCGTCCCCTAGGGCACTAGGGTTCTCGGGCCTACCTGGTGCTGTGCCCCAGGCGTGCACTGAGCGCGCGGTAAGGTCAGAAGGCTTCTTCACCCATACGGTAGCGAAAAAGGACAGCTTTCCCCCTCCAGGAGAGATGCCGGGCTCCCGGGGGCACTCGGCCATCGTCACCAGCCCTGAGGTGACGGCCTCATATCTGGGAAGCCTCTTCATTTGCAGGAATCAGATCCAAAGAGGGCTTTCTGAGGGCCTTGTGGCGAGGTCAAGCCTTTGTCCTGCCCTCTGGAAGGAAGTTGGGCTGGTCCCTGGGGTGAGTAGAGACAGCGTCTGGTGGAGAGCATGGGTCAGGGAGGACGAGGACCGAGGGGCACCAGACTGTTGGTCAGGGCTTGGCCCGGGTTTTGTGAACCTTTTCATGTGGTCACAAACACACCCATGCTTCATCGTGTTGGTCCTAACAGCGTTCAAGGTAGGAACGTCCTCCCCCAGTTAAAGATGAGGAAGCTGAGGTGTCCACCATCCCAACCCAAGGCTGGTGTCTTTCTGCTGCTTTGTGAGCACGTCCCTGGCCCCAGAACACTGTTCAGGGCTGCAGACGTGGTTCATGGGCCTCGGGTGGCCATTTGTGTTCATAGCGTCTCCTGCCGCTGAACGACGTTTAGACTTACAGTTGTAACCATTTGTAATGATGCCTAATGCGGGTGCATCTCTGAACTTAGCTTGGTTCAAACACTGTCGGACATATCTTCGAAAACTAGCTCCATCTCTGGGTGGGCTGCAGGGTGGGGCTTCTGGTCCCGTGGCCTCAGCTGAGCCCTGGACACTGGCTGTCTCCCTACAGGACGAGAAGGCACGCATCGAAGCACTGGGGGGCATTGTGTATTTCACGGACTGTTGGAGAGTCAATGGGACCCTGGCCGTCTCTAGAGCCATCGGTAAGCGGAGGCTGGCGTGGGGTAAGGCAAGGCCACAGGAAGCCCAGGCTCACCCACTGGTTTTGGACACAGTGTTGTGTGCCTAAAAGGATTTGCAGTATGCACGACTCCTGGCTTATAGTGGTATTACTTCCAAATAAACCCCTGGTAAGCTGAGAACGTGCCTAAGGCACCTGACCTAGCATACACCCTAACTTAGCTACAGTCTGCTGTGGGGGGTCAGTGTTTTTGCCCTTCTGGCCATGGGGCTCCCTGGGGGACAGCAATTCACTGCTGCAGCCCAGTTTCTAGAGAGGGTCTCAGACCATCTTACCCCTGATCCAGAAAGGATTAACATTCAAACTGCAGTTTCTGCTGAATGTGTACCATTTTCACATCATTATAAAATCAAAAAAACAAAAAAACAAACAAAAAAAAAACGTAAGTCACACCATTATAAACCGGGGCCCACTTGTACTAGGATTATGTCATCAGTCAGCTTGTGACAGGAATGGGAAACATTTAGAGATCACAATTGTGAAGACCCAAGAAACTTCCATCTCCCGCCAGTAATTTCAGTTTAAGTTATATACTATTAATTCTTCAACAAACAAGTCCTCCCAGGCCGGGGATTTAGCTCAGTGGTTCCAGCACCTGCTTTGTAAGTGCAGGGACTTGAATTTGATCCCCAGTACCAAAAAAAAAAAAACCAAAAAAAAAACCACAACAAGTCCTCCCAAAATCTAGTAGGAAATCCTTGCGCTAGCTACTATATTGGCTAGGGGAAAAGTTTTTAAAGTTTCATAAATGAGGTTACTGCCCCCATTTATGTTAATGGTTCTTTTTCACTGGAGTCGGGGTGTGCTGGGTAGCAGTTCCCGTCACTGCTGGTCTCAGCCCAGAGACCATACCTGCCCTTTCCAGATACAGGACTTACAAATTCCTCCCAGCTAACCCCAGAGATTTGGCCCCCGCTCCTCTCACCCTCCATAAGTGTCCTGTCATTGGCAAATGCTGTGCCTTCCTTACAGCCCGTCTCGCGTTGCTGCCATTGTACCTCTGGACACACCAGGAAGGGCAGGCCCGCAGACCAGGGCCGGGTGCTTCACTCTAAGGAGAGTGGGAAGTGTTGGGCGGGTTTCCATCGGAGCCAGCGTCTAGCACCGCAGGCCAAGGGGTGGTGGGCTAGTGGGGAGCAGGAGTGGACGGTGACACCCTCTGACGTAGGCTCTTCCCTCGTGCCTAGGGGATGTCTTCCAGAAGCCCTATGTGTCCGGAGAGGCAGATGCGGCCTCCTGGGAGCTGACGGGCTCTGAGGACTACCTGCTGCTTGCCTGTGACGGCTTCTTCGACGTCATCACCTTCCCCGAAATCGCCAGCCTCGTCCACGGCCACCTGGTCAAACAGCAGGGCGATGGGCTCCATGTGGCTGAGGAGCTGGTGGCTGAGGCCCGGGAGCGAGGCTCCCAAGACAACATCACAGTTATGGTGGTCTTCCTCAGGGACCCCCGAGAGCTGCTGGAGGAAGGGGTCCAGGGGCCAGGGCACTCCCAGGCCGGTGTGAGAAGCCAGGACTTGCCCTCTGGCCTCTCACAGCCCAAGGCCAGCACTCCACAGAGAAGCTAGGTGGTCCAGGTCCCCCCTCACCCCACCCTGACCCTTCCCCCACCCGTGTGAGTCCCCTCGGAGGCCTTAGGACCTGACAGGCAGTCGTGGGCAGGATGTGCCCACGCACACAGTGCTTGCCCCAGCACCCGAGACCACTGGTGATGCGTGCTACAGCCTGTCCTGGTACTGCAGAACCGCTCCCGGCAGGGCTCGAGAGCAGGCATAGGGAAAGACCTTACCAAAGTGAAGGCGGCCCAGGGAGTGGCCTGGCTCTTGCTCCTACCTCACATCGAGGCACGGGTGGGCCCAGAAGTCGCAAGCACCTGGTAGCAGACCAAAGACAGGATGTGCATTGGGAGCACTGGGTTACGCGCGTAGGGGACCCCCGCAGCAGACCTAAGAGCTCCAGGCATCTTCAGGCGCATCCTCGGGTCAGGTCAAGCAGGCAGGATATCCAGCGCCGGTCTCTCACGGCTTCTCACTATGGCTGCGGCTATGGCCATGGTGGGAGGAAGGATCGAGTTGATGGATAGGCCCGGCAAGTCCTGCCTGACCACGCTGGCTTCCCAGAGAGGAGAGAGCAACCCGTGCGTGACGTGACAGGGCCGCGAGGGCCTCTTCCTGCTTCCCCTGAGCACCATGGGAAGGTGAAGCTCGATCCTTACTGACACAAGGCGTGTGTGTCGTGTGTGTTCGGGATTTATGCCAGGAAAGGTCTAATTCAGAAGCAGTATTGCAGACTTTATCTTTGTTTTGTCAGTGCCAAGATGACCCACAGAGTCATATAATTTAAGCAGATCTTAATGTTTATTTCTTCAAAAAACTTAAGTATTTACTTTTTGAAGTTTTTTTTTAACTCTTTTGGAAACATTTTCATTGCAGTATTACTGAATCTTTTTTTTTTTTTAATCAGGATCGAAACAAACTTTTCTAGGTGGCGTTAATATTGTCACTTAAGTGCCTTACACGGCTGTGGGGAAGATGAGACCTGCTGGTCCGTCGTGGATTCTGACGGGCTGTTGAAGTTCTTACAGAAGCAGCATTTGTCTTGCTTGGAAGGTGTGATCTTGGCTAGAAATCTTCCTGGAGTTCTTTTCCTCCTTTATGTTACCGGGCACCCCCAAGAGCCCCCCTGGGTGATTTTCAGGAGCCATGCTACAGGTGGGGCTGCTGCCTGAGCCCAGACCACAGGGTGGCCATTTGCCTCCTTAACTGCCTGGGCCCTGCCATGCCGGTCTCTGTTGGATCCCAGATAGAGTGACTTTACTGCTAAGTAGAATGTTCCAGAATGTCTTTGTGGTTTTGCAGTTACACTGGTTTCCGTGGGGAAAATGCTTCATCAAGACACTGTGGCAAGCCCAGAGGCAGCCCGGTGTCATGGCTCTGTCTGGAGGCAAAGGGTGGGATACTTCTGGCCCATCTGGCAGCACCAGCCACAGCCCCTGACCCCCAGGCTGGTGTCCCCTGCTAGGCTTTGTTCTGTAGCTACAAGAAGGAAGGGCACCTTAGGGGCCGGGGATTTAGCTCAGTGGTTCTGGCACCTGCTTCACAAGTGCAAGGACCCGAGTTTGATCCCTGGTACCAGAAAAAAAAAAGAAGAAGGAAGGCCTCGTTGTCCCCTAGAATACTGGGAAGGTGAGGCTTGGAAGTGGTGATACTCGGGGTCTCAAAGAGCTCACGTAGTGTATGCAGAGTTGAAAGTGGCTGGACTGGGGAGGAGGCCAGGTAGAGGCAGGAACATGAGGCGGAGAAAAAGGGCCCTGGAGGCCGGGGAGAGCAGCCTGATAGGGAAGGGCTGAGCGGCAGTAGGACTCTGCTCCCACAGGGGTCTGACGGGCACTGGGTGGCTTAGCTAAGGCTTGTGACAGGGACAGTAAGAGGAAGCTTGACCATGAGATCCCCGCGGTAGTGATCGGAGCCCACCCACCTGCAGACGGCAGGGCACCAGGAAGCTCTGGAGAACTGGATTCCAGGCACCTTGCCCTCCTCCCAGTTCACACAAGGGACAGGTATGCAAGAGTCGCCAGCCAAGTCTCCCTCGGCAGGAAGGGCAGAGCCGGCCACGGCGGGGTGTGCTGCCTGCACCCTCAGCTTCCCCGTTCCCACGGTGGGGCTTCAGGAGGTGAAACCGTGCTGCCAAGGCCTTGCTCAGTCTCCTGATAGACAGCATCTTAAACATCGTCGTTCAGAGACAACTGGGCATGCTTAGCTTAACTTGAAAGCCCTGCTGCTTTCTGAGGGCCAGAAGCCAGGGCCCTCACGAGCTCTCAGCAGAGGGCTGGGCAGGACGCGGGGATGGGGCGCACCCTTCGCCCCCAGCCCATCCTGCTCATGACAATGACCTTCACTGAGGAGGGGGAGTTTTGGCTCGTTTTTCTTTGCTAATCTTACTCTGTTCACTGCTGCCAAGAGAGGAGCGGTACCCCAGTGACGTTTGGATTATACCCTTTGCTAGTGCGCTTTATTCCCTGGCCCGAGGCTCTGCCAGACCTCAGGCTTGGCACACAGGGAAGCCCCTTCCCCAGGCTGTCTGAACACCTGCCGTCACCCCCCCCCCAGAGAGCCTGCTGTGCCACGGGCACAGCCAAGGCCCTGAGGCAGAGACCTGAGCCGCTGGGGGGCGGGGACACCGGGGAGCGGGGAGGGCAGTCGGGAGCTAACCCTGCACTAGCTTCTGGGCCCAGAGAAGGACCTTTCCTGACGAGCTGGACCCAGAGCCTCCCAAACTTCTGGGTCACCCCTTGAGGCCATATTCCCAAGAGGGTCCCTGGCCAGGGCCGCCATTCTGCAAATCTGAATTCCATTTCAAGGACAGCTTTGCCACCAGCTCCTAAGCTGTGCAAGTCATTGTACCTTCCTGGGCCTCAGCGCCCCCTTTTAAAGTCAGAGGGGCTGCACAGTGTGGCTCTAGCCGGGAATTCTGAAAATGTAGGGCTACTGGAGGTGAGGCTGGTGCGTCCTGGGGAGATGCTGCCAGCTCTGAGGTCCCCTCCTCTCTTGCCAGCAGGGAGGGGTAATTAAGTATTATTAGTGTCTATTCTTAAAATTAAGTGGGTTGGAAAAGAATCAACTTACAGATGCCAGCGCCTTATATGGAAGACAAAAGCTGGAGGAATCAACCCTTCTTTTACAGGTGCTGCTGATTCCCGGCTGAGTCCTGCATGGCGGTAGAATTAGGAGGGGCAGGAAGGCACAGCTAATTCTCAAGGGTGTCCTAGTCAAAATCGAAGATAGTGTGTTTCCGGGGGCTGGGGACATGGTGTGGATGTCACAGCCAGAGGGGTCTCACACCCCACGAGAGAAGCGCAGACTCCCTGAGACCTTGACTCAAGTCCTGACCACTGACCACGGTCTGTTTCCTGCCCTCCCGGAGCAGCATGCAGCCCGTCTTCACCCTCCCCTGCCATGACATTTTCCAGCATGGGCATCCCGGCTACCTCAGCCGTGTTCCCAGTGCTGGGAGGCCGGCTCTGGCCACTCCTAAGGCCTAGCCCCCGACCCACACTGCCTAGAAGCTGGATAGGCCTGTGTAAAATAAGCTTTCTGTTTCGATTCTGCCTCTCTAGTCCAAAAGGGGCAGACCCAGAGTCCTGCGCTTTCGCTGAGGCTCCTTGACTTTGCCAAATGCGCCGAGCTTTGCCGTTCACATGCCTTGTGGCCCTTGCCAAAGGTTTCTCTGTGCACACTTTGTGGGCTTCCTAGGAGTTGTGTTCTTGCATAGCAGGGAATCTCATTCCAAGACGTGACTGTTTCCCCTGTAGTCTTCGGGACAAGTCCCAAGGTAAAGGGGCCGAAAGGGTGTTCTCTTCCCAGGAGCCCCATGTAAAGTGTCATTAAACCGTGAGTTCCCAGCCTGTCACTGAGTCCTTCCGTCCCCCTCTGAGTGCCTGGTCCCCACGGGTGTCCAGGGTGTTCTTGGGAGTTGCCGAGGACTTGCAAAGTGCCCCGTGTAGCCAGCCCGGCCTGGTATTCTTCCTGGGGCTCCAACCACAGAGGTAAAGTCTCTGGACCCTCACACAGCATTGGGGAGCCCCAGGTGCCTCTGCCAGAGGCCAGAAGTCCCCAAGCCCTTTTGCTACTGAGGATGAACACTGCCACGCTCCGCCAGCGCTGACGGAAGTGAGCCCACCCTTGGAGTGTGCCCTCACCGTGCCTCCTGAGCGCTCAGGCCGAAATCAAAGCACTGAACATCCCCTCCGCCTCCATTCCTGCTGCCCGCCTGGCATTGTGTCCTTTCCGCGTGCAGCACTGCCCGGGCTACGCCTGTCCCAGGATGGAGCAAGTTCCTTCGGCTGCCTGGGACGCAGTGGGGGACTCCACTTGCCCCTGGACTTCAAGACAAAAAAATCCCAGAAACAAGTCTACTGCTAGAAATTCCTAAAGGGCAGGATTTGGGGTGGGCTTCCCCCCCACCACCTTTAGGTTTTTCTCTAAATTCTAATTTTTTTTTTTTTTAACACAGCAAAAACACTTTACAGCTGAGTGTGGTGGTGCACGCCTGTAATCCCAACCTTTAGGTTTTTCTCTAAATTCTAATTTTTTTTTTTAACACAGCAAAAACACTTTACAGCTGAGTGTGGTGGTGCACGCCTGTAATCCCTGTACTCTTGGGACGCTGAGGCGGGAGGATCACAAATTCAAGCCCAGCTTGGGCAATTCAGCAAAGTAGTGAGACCCTGGTCTCGAAATTAAAAAGTAACAAAGGTCTGAGGCCCTAGGTGTAATCCCCAATACTGAAGAAGAAAAAGCTCTTCAAGGGAGATCGGCCAGCAGGAGAAGGGGTTGGAAGGATGACTACCAAGGATCTTGGTAGAGACCATGGAATGACCCAGGAGTCCAGGCAGCTCCACTGAGTAGGAGGAAGCCAGGCTGCAGCTGCGAGTGGCAGAGCCTAGGCAGCCCCTCCCTGTGGTGGCCTTCGCCTGGCTTCGACACTGGGCAAGGCCCGCCATCCCTGGTGAAAAGGGCACAGGCCTGTGTGTCCATCGCACAGGTGATGGGACCATCGCAGCTGACAGACCCCTCACAGGACCCCCCTGACTGTTGCCCTCTGCTCCAGATCTGTGAGTCCCTTCTAACTCAGACCTCTCTAACCTAACAGCAGGATGTGCTGTGGCTGGTGGTTTGGCAGCCCAGATCCCCGAGAGGGCGGCTCCCCCTGAGACACGATGCAGAGCACACTCGCATAGTCCAGCAGGGTCGTGACCCCCAGCATGTGTGACACTGCTCTTTGGGACCAACTGGAGACCCTCCCCAACATCCTCAGGGGATCGCTGCTGTCATTTTAATTCCAGATCACACGGGGAACTACCGAGTTGGGACTCAGTCATCCTGGAATCTTGCTACACTGCTCCCAACACGTGGAGCAGCCCACAGAGCCAGTCACGAAGTCACCACCTAAGGCAGGGTGGGCTTCAGTTTAACACGTGGGGGTCAAGTGCCAGTGGGTTACAGGGCCAGTATAGGGTCCTGGGGATCTAACTCGGTACCTTGCGCTTGCGAAGCAGGCGGCGGAACCACTGAGCTAAATCCCCAGCCCTGGTCTTTCCTTTTTCAAGCAAGCACAAGAAAGAAGAGACCTTGACTTGTACTGCTGGCCAAGCTCAGGCACCAAGGGGGCAGAGAAAACATCATAGATGCCTCCCTCCTCTCGCATAGCCCCCAAATCCCACCCTGAACTCTTCCTCAAAGCGTGGGGGAGGCATGTGTGGCCCAACTCCTTTGGGCTTGCTGTGCCCCTCCTGCTCGGCCCTATCCTGGACCCCCAAGCCTCGCATACTGTGCCCGTGGGCCTCCTGTTTCCTGGCATGGTCTGCTTTGCTTCCGATCCTTCCCAAGTCAACCCAAAGTGTCCCCACCTGTCCTAACAACGTCTGCCCAGAACGGAGGCTTCCTGCCCTATAGGCCACTCTGAGAGAACCGCAGCTTTATCTTCCTCCAGTCTGTCACAGAGGGCCCATCCTTGGAAAAGCAGGGTAACAAGCCCTGAAGGAGACCCCCCAGGCCCACCCACTTGCCAGCCTGTCCTCTCACTGCCCACGCACTCTGCTCCCTCAAGTCGCCTACTTAAGTATATGCTGTCTCCTTGTTCCCGGATGAATTGTCTGAACCTCCAGATGGTGGCTCTGTGCTCTCCTCCTGGCCCCAACCTTCGTGGCTCTCGGAGCCCTCTCCCAGTGCCACTGGGTGGGGGGCAAGGCAGGCCTGAGGACCACCAAGGTGCGGGCTGGCTGGTGCTGCCCTGCAGCTAAACGCAGCTCACCCACGTGATGAGGCCACCATGATGCCAGGTGAGGGTGAGGTGGGGGAACATGGGTTAGGTCTCTGCCGAGTGGGGCACAGACTAAATCCACTACAGAGAGCTGAGGCCGCAGAGTCTCCTAGGGCAGTTGAAACCAGGATCCACAAGTGCCAAAGGACTTCAGTCTGGCGAACGAAATCCAAATGCCCAGTACCCCAGACTAGGGCTAGCTTGGACAGAGCCAGAGAAAGAGCCAGGAATCCCAATCGGGAGGAGTGATGCCTAGTGCTCAGGGGGCTCTCACCACCCGCCCGCTTCCCTTCCAGCCTCTCCTGGCTAGGGTGGGGCAGGTCAGGAAAAGGTCCTCAGGGCCCTGGCGATGCCAGGCCATCTCAGATCTGCCTTCTTAGATCTGACCTTCAAGGTCCTGGATTTCCGTGTGTCTCAAGGCCAAGTAATGGGCATAGCCCCCTCAGAGCCAGCTCTGAGGATTTGTGGTGGTTCTGGGCTGGTGCCACTTCTGAGAGCAGCATTGGGAGCAGTGGTAGCCATGCAGCCCAGCCCCAGGCAGGCCCTCAGACCACCATCCTAGTCAGTCACTCTGGCTGTGGTGGGGAGACTTCCTCCTCACTCATCTTCCAGCAGCAACAGACTTAAAATGCCCACCTGTGCGCCCTCTTTCTCCCCTTCCCTAGGCCCTATTTGCAAAAGGAACTCCAGTCCCCAGGGCTTATTGGTTTCTGCCCACACTCAGTCCATCACCACAAAGTGTTGCTTCAAAACATTATATAAGGGGCTGGGGCTTTAGCTCAGTGGTTCCACTGCCTGCCTGGGAAGCGCAAGGACATGAGTTTGATCCCCGGTACAAAAAAAAAAGTGCAAAAGAACAAACATATAAACAATCACCATAAATGAATGTCTCTAGTGATTAAAATATATTCTACTTTTCTTTTTTTTGCACTGCTGAGGATTGAACCTATGTTCTCACGCATTATGTGCTACATTTCTTAAATTATAAAAGTAATACTTTTTGGCAAAAGTTGGAAAAGAGCAGAGGAAAATCAGGATTTGATTTTGAGCATGGACCAAAATATTCACAATCAGGGCTGGCATGTAGCTCAGTGCTAGAGCACCTGCTTAGTATGCATGGGGTCCTGGTCGGTCTACAGCCCCAAACAACAAAACCAGAAAAATCAAGGTACATATTTGAAAATGCAGTTTTATACTGGTGCAGTGCTGCATGACTGTAGTCCCAGCTACTTGGGAGGCTGAGGCAGGAGGGTCACTTGACCCCAAGAGTTGAAGCCAGCCTGGAGAATATAGTGAGATCACATCTTTTAAAAATCCTGTTTTGAGTTAGATCCCTGGTACCGGAAAAAAAAAATACTGTTTTAAGGGGCTGGGGATTTAGCTCAGTGGTGCCTGCACCTGCTTCGAAAGTGCAAGATCCTGAGTTCTATCCCAAGTACCAAAAAAAGAAAAGAAAAAAAAATCCTGTTTTAAGACTGGAGATGCAGCTCAGTAGTACAGCACCTGCCTAGCACATGTGAACCCATGGATTCCATAACCAACACCACAAATGTTTTAAAAAGAAAATTAAAAATGCAGTTTAAAAAGCAAACCTCTTGAAACAAGAGATAGCTTTTTGCATAGACTAAAATAATATGGAGAAATCGGTGAAGGTGAAAAAAAAGATTAAATTTAACCGCCGTGAATTTAAAAGTCAGAACTACACGAATTTATCTCCCGGACAAAGACAGACTTGAATCTGATACATTTAGTGTCCCTCCCCAGGCGGGAACTCTGCTCCGTCCGGCCGTGTTTCCCCGGAAGTAAAGGGCCTGCAATTTACCGAGTCGTTTTTTTAGCAGCTGCAGCTAACTTCAGCGTCTTACTTGCTCATTGCTGAGACACAACTGTAAGGACACGTTTATTTTGGCTCTCGGTTTGTAGAGGTTTCAGTTTATATATAGTCAGCTGGCTCCAAGGCCGGTGACCTAGCTGTGACCCAGCAGCGGGGCTGAAGCAGAGAGAGATCCAGGGAGCTGGGAGAGGCGCAACCCTCCCAGGCCACGCCCCCAGTGACCCACCTCCTCGAGCAGGCGTCCCCTTACGTCACATTTAGCTTACGTCATATTTAGGTCATCTGTGGGTGACCAATCACCTCCCAAGAGCCCCCACCTACGAGCGCCTGGAGGCTTTGCGGGGGACACTTAGATACAGACCATACAGTCAGGAAAGGCTGGGCCCCAGCCCAGGAACATCTCCCTTTCCACAGGCTTCCAGCATCCACAGCCTCTCCAGAGCCTTAGCTGAGCCAGGGTGATAAACACAGGCTGCTGGGCTTCCCACCTGGCATCGGCTATGGAGGCCTGACTCCAACACTACTGCAGATGTGAGTAGCTTCCTCAGAAATTTTGAAATTTTAAAGTCTTTCACATCAACAAGATATCAAGATGCAAGAGGCAGCCAGGAATTGGTGTCAAAGCTCAGAGTGTGGCTTGGGGATAGAGCACTTTCCTAGCATGCAGGAGGCCCTGGGTTCCATCCCCAACACTGGGGAAAAAAAATCATGCATCAACTATAAAGCATAGCAATGCAGCATAGCCACCAGGCAGTGACAAAACAGCGTTTCATAATATTGAAGGTCTTCAGAGGCCTTAATCCCTCTGTTTTTGTCACTCGTCTCTCTCCTTTACCCCAGTAACCAGTACCCTAAATGTTTAGGGTCATCTGTATGGAGGATTTCTTTATAGATTTACCATGTATGTATATATCTTTACATGCTGTCTTTAGTTTTTCTTGTCGATTAGCTTTTTGTTTTTCTTTTTGTTTTTGTTTTTTGAGACAGGGTCTCACTATGTAGTTGAGACTGCCCTGGAACTCACCATGTAGCCCAGGCTGGTCTCGAACTCACAGCGATCCTCCTGCCTCAGCCTCCCCAGTGTTGGGATTACAGGTGTGCGCCACCACGCCTGGCATCTATTAACTTTTTTAAAAAGAAAGTATCTTTTCTCAGTTTATTGGTCCATTATTTTAAGTTATGTGAGGTAAAGAAACTTTTTAAATTTACAAGCTAGGGCTGGAGATTTAGCTCAGCGGTTCGCTGGCCTGCCTTGCTAAGCGCAAGGACCCGAGTTCAATCCCCGCTACCAAAAAAAAAAAAGAAAAGAAAAGATAGTTTAAATTTACAAGCTAATAGTTTATCAAGCAGTACAAGTTCTTTGTTTACCTCAAAATGTAATACTAATCCCATAATAAGCAACAGAATTTTTTATACACAGACATGTGAAAAAAAAGTGGACACAAACTGTGTGCCGGCATCAAAAATTTAACAAAAAAACTTTTTCTTTAATTTTATAATCTCTGGGTTCCATAACAAGAAAGGGAGGTGACAGTCTTGTAACATTTGGTTCATGAAGTAAAGACTTCAATCTGCAAATAAATCACTTTCTGAACACACACTTTTATTTTCACAGCTTTTGTTTTGGCTTCACGGCAGTACTGAGAGACTATAACATATTTACATGGAGGGGGGACTTTACCAATATCCCAGAAGGTTTTTCTTTTTCTTTTCAATTTTTAAATATAAAGAATAATTTCTTAAAAAATAACTTCTAAAAATAAGAAACATAGCCCAGGGCTGGGGATTTAGCTCCGTGGTTCCACCGCCTGCCTCACAAGCACAAGGACCTGAATTCAATCCCTGGTACCAAAAAAAAAAAAAAAAAAAGTTAAAGAGACATAGTCCGGAATTTGGACATGTTCTAAGCAAAAGTTTTAATCTCTTAACAGTTAAAATACAAGCTTAGAAAGTTTGCTGGCAGTTTGTGTCATGGGGGGTATGGGAGGTCAGTCGTCTTACGTAGTCGTGACTCCCAGAGATGTGGGGCACAGGCAGACAGAAATACAAGGACCAGGGACCCCCCGGGGCAGCCCTGAACTTCAGGGGTGTCTGGGTGGACAGTGCTGGCTGCTTGAGGTGCTGGTTTCTCATCTGATGAGGGTCTGGCTGGTACAGCCGTGCTTTACTGAACCAAGTCACATTTTGGTCCGCCATCTCCTGCCCTCACCCCATTTATTAACTTTTTGAAAAAAAAAAAGTTTTTCTTTACTTTGCATGTTCTTTTTTTTAACTGGCAATTGAACTCTGGGCCTTGCATGTGATAGGCAAGGGCTCTGCCATTAAGCTACATCTCCAAGCCTTTTTAAGCTTTATTTTGAGATAAGGTCTCACTAACTTGCCCCGGCTGGCCTCAGACTCACAATTCTGTCTCAGCCTTCCATAAAGCCAACGTGTGTATTTCTTTCTTTCTTTTTTTTTTTTCATTCTTAAATATGCTTTCATACTCTTTTTCATTTCTGTACATCACAACATCAAGATTTTGCTGCTTAGGATCTCTGCAGAGGCTGCGGCTTTCGTCCCCTTAGTTGTGCTTGTGTGTGTGTAAGTGTAACACCTATCAGTGTGTATCAATGTGTGTACCAGTGCCCGCGCACATCAGTATGTAAAGCAGTATATATCGGTGAACGCCAAAGAAACAACTCTCCTGACGTCAATCAGGTCACACGTTGACAGACGGTAATTTGGACCTCAGGGTACCGGGTAGGAACCAGAAGCTTTGCGTTTGAGACCTATTCGCTTCCTTCAAGCGGAACAGGATTATCGGATCGAGGGCAGGTCTGTAACTTGGGAATGCGGAGCTGGTTCAGGCCAATAAAGCTACGAGTGACTGAGTCAAGTCAGCGAAGAACGGCAGTCGGGCCCTAAAGTGTGAGAAGTGCTCACTTTGAAAACCAAGTGCACCCACTGCCCTGTCAGCCTGGGGGTGATACCAAATGACTTTAAAAACCTTTGGTCCTTCAAAGTCCGCTTGGTGTATACCTTTTTCCGTTGCTACTACCGGGCACATCCCACACGCTTTGTTGTGCATATTTATTTTATTATTACTATGCTTTTGGTTCCGGGGATCGAACTTGGGACCTTACACTTGCGAGGCAGGCGGAGGAATCGTGTTTTTGTCAGCGTGTGCCTCCGAATCCGTACAGGCTGCGTGAGTTCCTGGCTCTCTGCATAAGCAAGACTGCTATAAATGTTCTTGATGGGTCTCCGGGTACTCACATTCAAGAGTTTCTTTAGGGTGCACACCCACTGGGCAGGGCTGGCTGTGTATGGGATTTGCAGGGCCCAGGGCCAAGGAAAACGTGTGTCTCTTGATGAACTGTTAGGGAGCAGCGGACCGGGTCGAAGGCCCTGTGACTGCACAGCTTCGTGGCCAGGAGGCTCCCTCGCCTCCGAGTCTCCCTGCCACTGAGAAGGTCGTGCAAGAGGCGGCCCAGCGTCAGTGGGTAGCACAGCCCCGCACCCTCGCCACCACCCGGTGCCATCAGACCCCTCAACTCCGGTCGGTACGGCGAGGGTAAATGGCCTCTTGTTGTGCTTTCGGTTTGCGTTTCCTTGCTTCCCCGACGGGGTATCTGTATCAGGTCTGAGTCGCTCTATCAAAATTCCCGAGGCTTAGAAGGAAAAGAGTTTTGTTTGGCTTGAAGCCTCGGGGGTCTGAGAGCGTGGTACCGGCGTGTGACCAGGCCCTGTGGCTATGTCACCACACGGCAGAGCAGCAGGAGCAGAAACAGGCGCATCCGAAAGAAACTGGGCGGATGGCCTGGGTTCGCTTCCTTCCAACCCGTTCTCATGGTAACAGGCTCAGAGATACCCAACCCACCCCTGAAAGGCACATGGACCCTTTCCGAGGGTGGTGCCCCGTGACCTAATTACCTCCCCGAAGGCCCCATCACCTCAACGCCATGATACTGAGGGAGGAACCACATCCAAACGCAGCAGAGGATGGGAAACGTCCGTGTGTCTGCGTCTGCGTCCGTGTGTGTGTCGACGACTGAGTGATTTTTATTTTTTAAGATCAGAAACAGAGTTGTCTTTAGTTCTGTTCTTGCCACTTAAAAACCGCATGGTCTTATGTAAGTTGCTCCCATCCGGGGCCCTGTTATTCGCCCCTGGACAACAGAAGTACGTGCTTTGTCTCATAGCGCTTCGTGTACGTCTCCGCAGCTGCATTCTAGCCCCTTCCGACGAGGGGACAGGTTCTCTCTCGTCATCTCTGTGGCTTTAACCCAGGGCCTGCCCCAAGACGGCATCCTCATTGGTCCACTGCATCAGCAGGCCGGTCTACGAGCACTGACTGAGGCAGGACAGAGGTGGAACTTCTGTCTGGCAGACAGAGGGACAGCGGGCAAAAGCCTAACTCAAGCTGAGCTCAACCGATTTCTGCGATCTTGAACAAAGGGCTTTCGACTCGCCGATCCTTCATTTTCTCATCTGCAGATGAGGATGATGACACCCCTTCCTGGGGCTCTGCGGAGACCTGAATTAGACGTGGGAGCGTTGGCTGTTTTTCCTTCCACCCCTGAAGTTCTAAGGTGCGCAGACCTTGGGGATTGCACTTTCTCTTCGTTCTTTTCTGTCAACAAGAGGGGTAGACCTACGACTGATGGGCCCCAGAGCTTCTAAAACAGAAGTTCATGGGGAGAAGAGATGAATCCTGCCAAGCTGAGCTCTGGCTGATACGGTCAACGTGTGCTCCGCACCCACCCCTCACACATTGTTTTACTAAGATATAATTTACACAGCGCATTCTCAGAAGTTGCAGTGTCGCTCTCCCGCCTCCCCAGCCTCCTGATGCCCTAACTCAAGCATCATTGAGACTTGGGATGATTTCACCCTCTGACCTGCTGAAGCCCACGGGAAGCAGGAGCCGGAGCGCTAGCCCTGCTCCCCAGCACCGCTAGTGGGTGAGGACCCTTGTCCTGCCACCTCGGGAAAAGTCATCAGGACACCTCTGACTCCATGTGTCCAAAACTCATCACCCTGCTCCAGAGCTCCAGCCGAGGACGGGCCTCACAACCTTCCACCCAGACACCCATCACGGAACCGAGTCACTACCTGCACTATCCTCTGTAGACCCTGCCCATCCCTCAATTTCTCTGTGTCCCTCTGAGCCCTCTTGAAGGAGGTCTGTATAATTTATCGTCCAAACCATGGCACCTCTGAGAGCAAGCAGAGGCACTATTAATGATGGATCTGGCACAACAGGCAAGCACCAGTACACCTGTCATTGTGCTTAAGAAGAGACAAGGACAGGCAGGGCTGGGGAGTTAGCTCAGTGGTTCAGCTGCTTTGCAAGCACAAGGACCTGAGTTTGATCCCTGGTACCAAAAAAAAAAAAAAAAAAACAGAGAGAGAGACACGAGGACAATGAACAGTAACAACAACCACCCAGCATTGCTATGGGAGACGAAACTGCAACACAGCCACCAACTTGTGCCTTTCTGAGGATAGACTCAGGTCAGCATCCAAAAAGGCTGTCCCTAAATAATTTAGTAAATGTAAATAGAAAACAAAAAAGCAAGTAGGAAATTAAAATAATTAGAAGTGCTGGGTGTGGTGGCGCACTCCTGTAATCCCAGCACTTGGGAGGTTGAGGCAGGAGGATCGCTGTGAGTTCGAGACCAGCCTGGGCTACGCAGTGAGTTCCAGGGCAGTCTCAACTACATAGTGAGATCCTGTCTCAAAAAACCAAAAAATAAAAATAAATAAATAAATAAATAATAAAATAATTAGCAGAATTTAAAAGGAAAAATAAGTAGAGAAAACAAGATAAGTTGTGTTAAATGACAAAAGCATGGATGAATATTAATAAAAATGTATATACTCTATACAAACTGAAAAAGCTAAAAGGAATTACAGGGATCTCTCCTCACATATAGTTTTTATTACCTGTGGTCAACTGCAATACAGTGCTATTAAATGAAAAGTCCTAAAAGTAAGCAATTTATAAGTTTTATTTATTTATTTTTTGGTACCGGGGATCGAACTTATGTCCTTGTGCTTGCGTGGCAGGCACCAAACCTCTGAGCTAAATCCCCAGCTACAATTTTTACATTGTGTGTGCGGAGTAGCCTGATGAGATCTTGTGCCATCTGTCACCCTCCGGGATACGAATGGGCCCTCCGTCCAGCGTATCGACACTGGGTGTGCCACCCTCCCCGAGTCACTTAGCCATCTTATTAATCAGATTGATTATCATGGTGTCACCACGGTTATGGTGGTCATTTTAGTGGCCAAAAGTTCAAGGACAGTGATGCAAAGGAAACATCAGAGCATAAAACTCGGAAAGACAGATGAACACTGATGCTACGTGACAATGCCCCGGGGCACATAAGAGACACCATATCTGCACAGTGTCAAAACTGCCTGAAGTTTTGGACATCAGTCCGGGGTCTTGGAACACGGATCACTGTTGTATACTAAAACTGAAATCATAAGTGGACAGTTGGATCCCTATGTTTGCATTTGCATGACAATTTTTGTACTTTTTGTATTTCTCTTTTTTGAGGGATGAGTGCTAGGGGTTGAACCAGGACCTTGCCCATGCTAAGCACATACTTTACTCCCAAGCCACACCCCAGCCCTGTATTTTCCGAGTTTGCGGTATTGAGTCTTATTTCTGAGACCAGAATGAAAACAATTTTAATATTATTTTGAGACACCGAAATGGACTCAGTCGTTCGTAAATGCTTGCAAAGGCCCACTTGCGATCACAAGTGTAGAAGTTGAAGTAGAGAACCAAGGTCTCTGTCATTAGGCATTAAAGAGGGCGGGGAAGAAGGCGGAAGGGAGGACCAAGCAGGCAAGCAGGAAACAAGGGGCTTCCCAGCTTGGCCAATGATACCAGGAATGCAGGCCCGAGGAAAAAGGGTGACCTGAGGGCTTCGTGGCTCTGGGACAATAGCCTCAGGCTGCAGAGGAAGGCACGGACCAGATCACAGACCTTTTGTGCATGACCTTCCAAGTGATCCTTGAAACTGCTGGACAGGTCTGGGGCAGAGACTGGCCAGTGGGTGCTTTTCAGAGGTCCTTCTGGTTGCTTTTCAAAAACAAGAGCCAGGACCAGGAAGGAGGTCCAGGAGTTCGAATGAGCCTGGCTGACTCCCTGAGCAGAGCCGAGACATCTGGAACTGTGGCGGGGGCTACGTTCAGAAGCCACAGTGGACTAGGGAGAGAGCATCTCTCCTGTCTGGTCACTTAATAAATGTCCATTCACTCTGAGCCTGAGGACGAGACCTGAGACAGACCCGTGAAACGAATGGATCCCAGGAGGAACAAGAAGAGATCAGGGTAACAGGTCAAAGTGAGCACCCAGGATAAACAGGAGCAGGCAGCTGGAGTGGCACTGGACAGAACAGCCGGCAAGCTGGAGCAGGCGGTAGAGCTCACCATCGTTCTGTTCGTTTGTGATGCAGACACTACGTGCCCGGCAGCCCAGTCTCAGAGGGGTTAGTACATCTCCAGCTTAGATTTCCCTGGTAGCTACTCAGGCTCAGGGAGCACCAGGATGGAGGTGCAGAGAAGCCTTGGGTATTTCATCGGAGGACACCATCTATATGAAGCCCAAGTTCAGGCAAAATCTAATCTGGAGAGGTTCTACAGTGATGGAAACATGCTACGTCTTGATTTGGGTCTTCGTAACATAGATGAGTACATCTGTCCAAATTCATTAGACAGTGAACCTCCGATTGGTGAATTACACCTCAATAAAGACTAAAAGGCTCAGGCCAGACTCTGGTAACCCAAGAAATGGCTTTTGGGGACCACTCCGGGAGGTGCCCTGCAGCAGGGCCATAGCTGGAGGGAGCTATGAGGTGGACACCCTTGTGGGCAGTCTGTGGGCCGATGGCTAAGGGACACAGTGGCAGAAGTTGTGGCTACCAGCCAGACCCTGCACAGAGGAATGACCACTGAACCAAGCAAGCCAGCGGGGGCCCTGAGAGCGCCCTCAGAGAGTGGAGGCGGGAGACAACATTCACCGAGGCCTGCAGTGTGCCTGCTCTAGGGCTGGACCGGCTTTAACTCATTCAGTAATCCTTACGTCCCCAACAGTTATGGTTGCTGGATTGAGAAAACTCAAGATCACGGCGGGTGTGCAGCAGAACCCAAGCTGCTGACTTCCAGAGAGTCAGAACTGAGTGTTAGCTTGTCTAGCTATAGCCTGCTGTAGCAGGGAAACCATGAAATACCAAGGCTGTGTGTGTGTGTGTGTGTGTGTGTGTGTGTGTGTGTGCGCGCACGCACGCGCTGCAGAGCTCAAGATAGAAGGTGTGTGCGTGCGTGTCTGTGAGCTGCATCGCTGTGCATGTGGCTGCATAGATTTAAATGGAACAAATCTCCTAGCAGTCACACTCACGTGTGTGCCCCCAGCTTGTCTTCACAACATTTTTCTGAAATCTCACATCTTGAGAGATGTCGGTTGCTCCTTTCAGAAGGTAGAGAACCAGTCCAGGGAGGGTGCCGCCAGTCCCCTGCTGTGGCCACGGCAGGGCGTGTGGTGTGT